GATGGAACCGTTCTGGGAGTTGCATGTGACTCTCAAATAACATTCTGTGTCCAGGTTGGCGCATCAAGTGCTCTGCTATAGCTGACCTCTCTGGTTGAATTAGTCTGCAGTGCCTTTCATGTTCTTTGATTCGTATCTGTTGAAAGCCTTTGAGAACGCATTGTCATATAGCTGTTTAAAAATACACCCTTTGTAATGGGGGACTGGGATTTCTGTACTTGGGGTTGGGATTTCTACTTTAGGGTCCTGTGTTAACCAGACTTTATTTTTTTTTTTGAAAAACTGGAATTTGCAGCTGAGCACTGAATTGCAATGAGCTGTATCGGTAATACAATTGCTTTCCTAATAATGACGGTGTTTCTATTCTTTGCTCTATCTTTCTTTCTCTGAAGGTTGGCCTCAAGGTGTTCCTGGGCGAACAAGGCCAGTGGTTTGGAGAGAATAATAATGATGATGGTGACAAAGTCTCAATTGTCCACGATTTGGATAGTTCCGTGACCGGATGGATGGACAACGTTGTGTGCAGGGCAGGCAGCTATCTGATTCATCACCCAAACTGCCTCATTGTTCCAAGGTGGAAAGGAATGCTATGCGCTGAGAGAGATGCACAGGTAAGACGGAGTTATCATTACACAAACAGGGATGTTGCAAAGTTTAGTGGGTCAGGGGAAGATAATACCATTAGTCAGAATAAGAACAATGTATAGAGATGTCACTATGCACCTGTACTAGAAATGGCACTATGCACTATGCACAGCCTCTTATTTGCCCATTTGCTTAACATAGTTAATCAATTAAGAGCCATCTTTTGACAGTTCCAGACATCACCAAATTGCACACTTTAGTTAGGGGCAAAAAACCCCTGGGATTTTGGATGTCCAGATAGAGACCCCTTGGTCCCTGGATTTCTTCCAGGAACACTTTCAAGCCAGGACCAGAATTTGGTCATTATTGACAGTTTTTAGAGCCTGCCTGGCCATCTGTGCAGACAGATTTGGTTGTGTACTTTTGGTTGTGTACTTGTGGCCACACTTGTTACTTTGCCATGATGTTTTGTGTTATGTCTTTTATAACAGACTATGCTTTTTATTTAATCTTTACCTTTACCTAGCAATTGCTTCCATGTTTACAGGGGCTGGCGTTTGGCCACCATCCTGTTTGCTGTGGGAGCTCCTGGGATAAAGGTGCTGCCTGGATGAGCCCTTGGGAAATAATCCTGCCGGGGAAATAATCCTTCCTCTTGCACCAGTTCCTTATGTTTACAGATGAGCAGAAGAATGGGGAAACTTGAGAGCTCCATCCCATTGTGACTAAACTTGCTTGAGACCATTTTTGGTTGTTGCTTGGTTCTTTGGAAAGTGTCTTCATAGATACTTCCAATCCATCCTTTTTTATAGCCTAGTGTTAGAAACTTGCTTTCAAGTTATGAGAATCTCATGATATTCTAGTTGAGCTCCCTTCTGTGAAAACAAGCATCCAAAGGCTGGCTATGGCACCGACTTCAGCTTCATGTTTCTTGTTTAGTGGGCACATTTTTCTGTCCAATGTCCTGGTTAGCATCAGAAATGTGACTAAATAAGTAAACAGCTGCCAAAAAATGGGGCGTGGACTATTGTCTGTCTTCCTTTTTTCTGTCTCTTAAATCCTCGGGTACCTCATTAATGTTTTGCAGGACTTTTTCATTAGCAGCTGAGAATTCCTAACGGCACCAATGGAGTTTAAATTATGAAATCAGAACTTCATGCTCAGCTAATGTCTGCTTAACATCCTTCGCTTCTATGAATAATAGATGGGCCACTTTTCTACATAGGCATGTATGGTATGGTAATACCATTATAAGAATTGCTAATGCCACCCAATGGT